ACCAGTCACATTCTGACACTCCGGGTGGATGTGACTTTCGGGGGCTGTATGCAGCCCACTACCCCTGGCACTTCTCCAGACCCAGACCTCCAGGTGCTCAGAAGAGGAATTTGAGACTCTCCCATCTCCCTTCTTGATTCCACCTAGTTTTATGATTTGGGGGGCTTGTGGCCCCAACTTTGGTAACCGCTCCCACGAACTGCCTCAGACACTAAACACCTTCTATCCAAAATACATGATTAATTGGCAATGTCAGGCAAGCTTCTTTGGTATTGATTTGGTTGAAGCTGGCAATTCTTCACATTGTTTCATTTCCCTTTCCTTTTTCTCATCTTGTTTGTAAACAGGAAGGCTAAATGAATCATTTTGAATTGTATTGTGATTTATAAATTGCAGCAGTGTGTGGTGAATAAACTGTGGGGGCTTCATTTCTCATCTACTTTGTGCTAAATGTGCTTCTTGATGTCAGAGGATTTGATGGAAGCCAGTAAGTAGGAGACGGGCAGAACTGCCTTACTGGGCGGACCCTTACCCGCCTAAGGCATCTCTACAGCACTTCAGTGTATGCGTGCTGCTCCCCACACTTCCCCACGCAGACTCCGAACCCTGAGACCTGGACTCAAAGATAACTAACGACAAGGAGATTCACAATGGCCAGACACTAATACTGACAACCTGGGGAGAACTGACAGGTAGGTGGTGCTATCCCACTTTGGCAAACAGTCGACTGGTTTTCTCATTAGAAAACTGGTGGGAATGAGAAGAGATGAGGGCTGAGGCGAGCGTCAGGTGTTTCTGCCTTTGTAGCATGTTTCCTTGTTTCCAGCTACAGCACTTTCATTTTCTTTTAGGGAACTGCCCTCCCAACTTCAAAGTCTATGTGGTTGGGGAGGGTTTAGCTCCACAGGAGGGGATGTGAACCAGCCCGGGTCATTGGGTGTTGTGTCTCCTGACCGTATGATTGATTCAGGGATGAACAAATGACCGCAGCTTGTCCTTAGAGCCCACTGGCATCAGCCCTTGGGCTCTGGCCGGATTTAATGAGTTTTCATTGGGTTGCTAAGATGGTAGGATGTCACTTTAGAGGTGCCGCTATCCACATTTGTCACCAACTAGGAAGCCCACCTAATGATGAAGTCCACACAAAGGAAAGCTGGCTGAAGGATAGGAACAGAATCCTGATGGCATAGTTTAGGCGTTCAGATCAGTTGTACTTAGGTACTTGGGGCTACCCTCTGGACTTTCCATTACATGAAGGGATAAATTATCTTTTTTTGCTTAAACCAGTTTGAATTAGGTTTCTCTCACTTGCTACCAAGAGTCCCAGTAAATATGGGACTATTCTAAGATCAAGAGGAATAAGTGGATCTGTCTACAAAAGTTGTCTGAGTGGCTTATTATCCAGGAGTCTACAGTGATAACCATCATTTACTGCTGCATTTTGAGCTGTTTACATGTGTCATCTCCTGTAATCCTCGTTAACACCTGGTGAGGTATTATTCGTCTCATCTTAAGAAAATTACCGCTGAGATAGCTTAAGGAACTTTCTCAAGTCTACACAGCTAGTGGCAGGGCCAGGATTGATTCCAGTCTGCTGTTTCCAATGTTTATGCCCTTAATTAGCATAATTTGTTAGTGAGGGTGTTTGTGCCCAGTGATAAAAGGAGCACATTTGTTTTCGTCTGAGCGAACTGACGGTATGAAGAGAAAACGTTAGAACTAAATACCTTATCTTATGGCCTATTTGTCCAACATGACCCTATTCTAAGGAAACCAAATGGAAGGGCTAGACAGTAAAAAAGGTGGTTATCAGAGAGACTTGGAAACGGGTTTTAAAGCTCTTTTTAATATTTTAGCATAGGTCCTTGAAAATTTTCAGTCTTTTTTAAAAAAAATTTTTTTTAAATGTTTATTTATTTTTGAGAGGAACAGACAGAGCATGAACAGGAGAGGGGCAGAGAGAAAGAGAGAGACAGAATCCAAAGCAGGCTCCGGGCTCTGAGCTGTCAGCACAGAGCCCAATGCTGGGCTCGAATTCACAAGCAGTGAGATCATGACCTGGGCTGAAGTCGGATGTCCAACTGACTAAGCCACCCAGGTGCCCCGAACCTTTTTCATTTTTTAGGTTTCAGCTTAAATGATATCTTTTCAGAGAGACTTTCCTTATTGGTTTACTTAAAGACTCTCATCAACTAACCCTATGTAATAAAAAATTAGGACTTAAAAAAAGGGGGGATAATGTCCCACTCCAAATTATAAAAGACTACCTGCTTTCTGAAAGAATTTGGAAAGTAGAGAAAAAAAAGCTGATAACCAAGCACTCCTGAAAACACCCACCAACTGTTACAGAACCTTATAACATGCAGAACAATGGAATCTTAGTTATGACCTAGGGCGAGCCACTTGTGCCATGGTGCTCTTAAAGGCATTTCCAATATATCTTACATGTCTAAAGGAATATTACTATTTGTGGTTGTACCAGGATAAGGAAAAGCTGGCAGGCGAGCGTCTTCCTAAAATGTTCTGGTTGGCCAGAATAGATATTTGTGGAATATTCTCTTTACTAATATTGCCTGCTACAGATGAGCTAATAATATTAAAGCAAAACAAAAACTGGGGCACCTGGGTGGCTCCATAAGTTGGGCGACCAGCTTCAACTCAGGTCATGACCCTGGGTTCATGAGTTTGAGCTCCACATCGGGCTCCCTGCCGTCAATGCGAAGCCTGCTTCAGATCCTCTCTCTTCCTCTCTCCCCCCTCCTCTGCTCGTGCTCTCTCTCTCTCAAAAATAAAATAAACATTAGAAAACAAAACAGAAAATAAAAGACCACAACTTCTCAGATATAGGTGAAACTTTATTTATACATAAAAAATTTTACATCAAGAATTCTTCTTTTCTAAAAAGTCTTTTATTGTAAAGCTCAAAATGAAAAGACTCAAAGAGGCAGTGTATAGCTCTTTGATTTTGTACCTACAACAGTCACAGTTAAGCAATTTTTAAGCTGCAAAAAACATACACCTGTCCTGTTAATAGGAAATACATAACTTCTGTAACTGTGGACTTAAATCTCATGATGGTACTCAAGGCCAAAGTAAAATTAATATCAGGAAAGAGGAGACTTGGCATTAATGTTAACACAGGCACTATCTCTGACCACTTTCCTCTATGTTAATTATTCTTCTTAGGTACATAACAGAGAATTTGTTTTTCTAACAAGACTCATCATTACCCGGGGGGAAGTGAAAGAGACATTTACAAGGACTCTTGTAAATAGTTAGAAAACCATCTCCCAAGATTACACATTTCTGAGTGATAATATTAACATTATCCACCCTATGGAAGAAATATAAAGTGCCGTAATGTTTGGGGACCAAATAATTTATAGAATAAGTATTAATCTATTCTGGAGCATGTAAGCCTTAGTACCATGTAAATCTAAACCTCACTTCTAAAACAAGTCATTAAGATTTCAAGAGATAAATTAAATGTCAAATTGTTGCTACATCCAAACACGATTAAAAACTCTTAGTAAGACCATGGCTTTTTTTTTTTTTTTTTTTTTGAGAGCAGGGCTTAATTTACAATATTTTCCCCAATATAAAAAGGATTTAATTAATTTATCTGTAACGAATGGGTGCAGCCACCATCCCTCACCTTTTATCTTCCCTCCCAATTCCCCCACTTGCTAAAGTCACCATTATTTATCAGTAATGTGGTTACTAGTGGAAGCAACTAAATCTGTCTGAGATGATTTACATAGGTGGACAAAAATCATACAATTTCAGGTACACTGAAATTATACTTCAGCAAGAAATTATACTTCAACAAGTAAAGAAAGTTGAAGTATCTGCTTTACCTTTCAAACTTAGTATTATTTTTTTCTTCTTCACTTTTTTAAAAGTTTATTTTCAGAGAGCTTGCGAGAGAGAGAGAGAGTGAGCACATGTGCATGCAAGCAGGGGAGAGGCAGAGAGAGGGACAGAGCACTGTCAGCACAGAGCCCAACGTGGGGCTCAATCTCATGAACCGTGAGATCATGACGTGGGCCAAAGTCAAGAGTCAGACGCTTAATCGACCAAGCCACCCAGCTGCCCCTCTTCATTTTTAAGTTTCAAAAGAGGTCATGGTTCTATAAAACTTGGCCAAGAAGTGTAGGTAATTAATTAAAAAATTCTTACTAGAAGATGTCAACAATGCCAATTTTCTTCCAGATGGATGGCGATTTGATTTAATTAGGTTGGGGGGGAGGGGACATTTTGGAAGGGGGAGGGGCTAACAGGAGCACCTTTATATTCTGTGTAAATAGCAACTCTGTTCTTTTATTATCAATATTGTTATATTGGGCTTAATCTCTCTGAGGGACCAAAAAACCCCCTCTGGTCTGGCCTTATTATTTTATTAAAACTGTCCTCAAGTGGCATGAAAGAGCATCACGTGCAAGGCAGCAGTAAGCTGGTAACTTATGGAAGGCATTATGCGGAAAGAAGAGGTTTTTCTCCCTTTTGCTAAGGACAAAGACATTTCAAGGGTGAGAGAGAAAATAGTAAATATGTGATACAGAAATACCCTGTCCCTTTAAGATGAATAAAACAAAGAAAAATAAGTAACCAAAGGTAACACTTTTACTTTAAGAAATACCAAATTTCCCTTAACTATAATGTTAGAAATTTACATAAGGATGAAGAACTAGAAAACATTTCTTCATTTCACCAAGGAAAAAATAATAATGAGAGCAATGGATGCTTTTCCACAAAGTCTTGTGTTCAGAAAATTTTACCCACATAAAAATGACATCTTTAGTTCAATTTTGCTTAGACAAGAAGCTTTTTCAATTTGCTTAGGATAATAATTCATTTTTTTTTTTAAGTGTATTTATTTTTGAGAGCGAGAGCACGTGCATGTGAGCGGGGAAGGGCAGAGAGAGAGGGAGAGAGAATCCCAAGCAGGCTCTGCACCGTCAGCAAAGAGCCCAATGGGGGGCTCAATCTCATGAACCATGAGATCATGACCAGAGCCAAAATTAAGAGCCGACACTTTACTGACTGAGCCACACAAGCGTCCCTAATTCATCTTTTTAATAGCAACACTCCTTGAGTAGGCTACTATTTTACACTGATATTATAAAGGAGTAAAGAATAATAATTTGCGCCATAAATGGAACAGTTCCCTCAATTTTCATTACACCTAAACAAACTCTAGGAATCAGAATCTTTTTCCATTAAAAACTCACACTTCTCACCCAGTCTCTCATTTGCATTCTTTTTCCCCACAGGAAGCAAAACAAAGCTCCTCACACTTCATCAAAACTAGAACACAGAACTAGTGAACAATTAGAATTACTCTAAGAAAACATAACTTAGAGAATTTGAATTTAGGCTTTAACTATTTAGAAATGTCCTATTTAACATCTTAAGCAACAGTACCTAAAGCATTACAAACTAATATACTCTCATTAGGGTGGTTATGACTATAGTTTCCATATATGTTTTTGTATTCAGGGATAATGAACATGATTTAAAAAAAAAAATTCATGATTGATATAAAAGATCAGTCCCGAATAAATGAACTAAAATCTGTTAAATACAAATAGGTTAAGTAAGATCATCTCAAAGCAAAGTTTAAAAGACTTAGAAAGCTTTGGTTGAGACCACAGAGACAAAGTTCTAGGCTTCACACTGTTAATGGCATATTTTGTCCCTCCGGTGGCCTCCCCTAGAAATACTCATTAAAGCTGTAAAAATCAAAATATTTTTTTTTCCTTAACACATGAGATAATGCAGAGGTCCCTCTTTCTGACTTAAAAAATTAACCAACCAACAAAACAAAAACAAAAACCCAAACAACAAATAAAAGCCCTATTTGCCCAAACAAGCAAACTGTTAACAGGACAAAACCTCCAAACCCTCTATTTGTAAATGTGCACTCACCAGTTGAAGTTTAGAGGGAAAACCCAAACAATTTCAAATTCATGGATTTACTGCAAGGACCCGACACACTTATTCCAAGGCAGGTTAGTAATATCTCATGAGGAAGTCTAAGCTCTTGTGGAGATTTAGTGGATAGTCTGACCAGACCTTGGAGGGTACTTAGGAGACACCACAAAAATTAGGAAGTAGGAGGGAAATCCTCAAAATAATTATTTGAAGAAAAGCCCACAGTTCATCAGAAGCCAAAACATATGAAATTCTATTCCACGTAAGAAATACTGACTTTAGGTTTCCACGTGACTTAAAGGACATACAGCACAAGGTAACTCTGTATTGTTTTTAAGACTAAAGTAATCTCTAATCTTAAGAAACTCAAGATGAAGGAATAAAGGTGGACAGACAGATAAAAGCGTATTCTTCAACTTTTCTTCATTGCACAGGGAAATCCCCCTGAAGTAAGAATAAGAAAGTTAAGTAAGCTGGAAAATATTTCTCACTTTAATTGTATTTTCCTTTATTTTTTTATTTTTAAAGATTTTATTATTATTTTTTAAAGTTTACTTATTTTGAGAGAGACAGAGAGAGAGAGAGAGAGAGTGTGTGTGTGTGCGCGCGCGTGCACACGCGTGCTGGGGAGGGGCAGAGAGAACCCCAAGCAGGCTCCATACGACCAGTGCAGAGCCCAACACAGGGCTTAAGCCCATGAACTGAGATCATGTCCTGAGCCAAAATCAAGAGTCAGATTCTTAACAGCCTGAACCACCCAGGTGCCCCAAGATTTTATTTTTAAGTAATCTCTACACCCAACGTAGAGCTCAAACTCACAATCCTGAGATCAAGAGTCTCATATTCCACTGACTGAGCCAGCCAGGTGCTCCTGTATTTTCCTTTAAAGCCACATTTTAATATTGATGTAGGTTTCATACAACTAAGAATGATACAGATTTTAAGAAGCAACCTCAGCTTTTACATAATTCCTTAATCACCATTATGAGTCCTTGTCAGATTGGGCTGTGGACGAATGAGATAATGATTTTCAACCTTAACTTACAGAGAAGCTTTCAGAGCACTCAACACTTCCTGTGATCTTATTTAACACAGAGACTACAAACCCATTTCCATTGTCCATTCTTTAAAAAGGCATGCATATTGGGGTGCCTGCGTGGCTAGGCAGATTAAGCGTCTGACTCTTGATTTTGGCTCAGATAGTGATCTTGTGCTTTGTGGGTTCGAGCCCTGTGTCAGGCTCTGTGCTGACAGTGGATAGCCTGCTTGGCATCTTCTCTCTCTGTCTCTCAAAATAAATAAACTTAAAAAAAAAAAAAAAAAAAAAAGGCATGCATACTTACCCAAGTTTCAAACCACTCTTTCCTTTGCCATTTCTTATAAACTGAACTTTAATTTTAGGGTCTTTAATAGCAACGCCTGGTTAGGCTATTATGAGGACAAGGCTACTTTTCTAGTAAACTACATTTTTAATCCCACAAGGTGGAATATTAAACAAATCATGGTTTACTTACAGAAAAAGATTCTAAGGTTTATAATCTACTTTATTATAAAAAGGAATTGATTTTTACATGCAATTTATGGATGACAGACTATTTAGAAAAGTTCAAATTCATCAGCTTGAAAATATACCTCACTGAAGTATACTTACTTATAAAAACATACTTCCTTTGCCATGTGAAAATCTGGTGTTTAGTTCTCTAGATTTCTTGATCAGAGCTTTTTTCTGAGCTTCATCAAACTGGCTAACTTTGAGATCCTTATCACGATCAAATGGTATTCTTTCCTGGGGCTTATTTTTCTCTTCAGCAGCCTTATTCTTTAATTTCTTATGATGAATGTCCATAAGAGATTCTGATCTTTTTGATTCCTGGGGACAGCAAGAGAGTAGAAGTGAAAAACTCTGTTTGTATAGATTATGGGCAGAATATGATCATGAAGCAAAATGATTAAGCACTGATGATGAATATTAAGGAGGGTTTTTTACAAACCCTAACAGTTTTTGCCAAATCCAAGACAGGATCTATGAAGCAAACATGTATCGGGGCAAATTCAATTCAGCCAAAATGAAGATATCTACTAATTACCATCACACAAACACACACACACACACACACACACACACACACACACACACAAGCAAGATAGAGGGGAAACAAATGTTTAATAACTATAATGAAAAGCATCCTGCGGTGTGTCACAGAGTCCAAACCAAGGACACGGCTGAGAGAAGAAGAGCAAGTACATCGTTACTTAGGAGCCTTTAGGTTAAAGTTTCATGGATGCGTGGGTCTGTGAAGCCCGAACAAATGGATGGGAAGGGAAGGGCACTGCCAGGCTGAAGTGAGAATATGGGCAAACCAGAAAAATAATGGCACGGAAGTGATCAAATTCAAGGCCTATTCAGGATATACGGTGGCATATTCCATATGCTAAGAGATTTGTATTCCTTTCAGATTTGTTCCCTCTCCTACAGCTCTCATTTTCTTTCTTTTTAGTGGGGACAGGTGCTCATATTTTCAAGTATATCTATAGTAGGATGAGTCAGTCTGAGCAAAGGCAACTGGCTTCATCAATCAGAGATTCGTTGTAGACCGTTCAGTATTGACTGAAGTACAAGAAACCCCTAGATCAAATGCAGCAGCAGATGTAGGCAGTACAGACTGGCAGATTGCAAAGTGGGGCATAGGCATATGTGGGCCTGGGGGCTACAGACAGTGGATTCCACATGCTGGGAAGGCATGGATAATTTTAAGATTATCTACCTACAACTCTCAACCTCTTCATGTAACCTCACTTCTTTTTTTCTTAATTTTTTAAAAATTTTTTAATGTTTTATTTATTTCTGAGAGAGAGAAAGAGAAAGCATGAGTAGGGGAGGGTGAGAGATAGAAGGAGATACAGAAATCAGAAGCAGGCTCCAAGCTAGCATCAGCACAGAGTCTGACGCGGGGCTTGAACCCACAAACCGTGAGATCATGACCTGAGCCGAAGTCAGACGCTTAACTGACTGAGCCACCCAGGCGCCTCTTGTTTTTAAATGTTTTTATTTATTATTGAGAGACAAAGAGAGACAGAGCATGAGTATGGGAGGGGCAGAGAGGGGGGGAACAGAGAATCTGAAAGAGGCTGTTAGCACAAGGCCCAACGTGGGGCTTGAACTCACAAACCGTGAGATCGTGACCTGACGTGAAGTCGGACGCTAAACGGAATGAACCACGCAGGTGCCCTGCATGTAACCTCACTTCTAATTGATGCATCTTTTTATTTCAATCTCTCCCCTTTTATTATAGTCCTCTACCACTTAACAAGGGAGAGGCCTCTCAGAATCTTCCTGTAAGAACACTGCCTAGGAGAGTAAGTCTCCATGGTTTCAAACAAAAAATGTGAAATACCGGCATGAAGGAACTTCCTGATTGAGAAATGGAAAGCCCAGGAGAACTCTGTGTTCTTTTGTGTCTGAAACCTGTTTCTATTAAGTGTGTGGTGTCCCTCAGATATTGATGTTTTGCTTTTTGTTGGAACGTTCTGTGTTCAGACACTGAATAGATGGGCAATGGAAGAAAGGGCAAGTTTTGCTTAGCAACCACATCTCTTCCAGGCCCTATCTTGTTAAAAAATGGGAAAGCAAAGAAGCAAAGAGAGCTCTGTGAAAGCAACAGAACAAGGCGTTGGTAAGAAATGCTAAAACTGGTAGCATCCTATTTCATCCAGGAGACAAACTCATGATACCTATCTATCTACTTTAGAAATAAGAAATGTCACTGGAATAATGATGAACCCATGTATTTGAATGGAAAAATGAAGTGAGAGTTTATGATAGAAAGTAAGTCTTGGCTGATTTGACAACCAGAACTGACTTTGTCAATAAGGTTATATGGCAGTTATTCCCTTGCAATTGAATAAGTTCCATCTGGAGCTGTAGGTTTTAGCAGAATGTACAAAACATATTATGTTAGTTGAGTATTTATTTGAATTACCACTATTTCCATCTTCTTACTCCTTCTCACTCATTTCATAAATCTTAGTAAAATCTTTAGAAAAAAATAGACTTGCAAGTCAAGTGCTTTCCAATTCTTTATTTTCAGCAAAACTGAAGGAGATTTAAAAGATTTGTTAATTATTGCGAAGAATAAATAAGCTATCAATACATAGAGCATGGAGAATTAGGAATTTAAGTTCTGGATTCAGAAAAATATGAGTTGCAATGATGGCCCTGCTAGTTTCAACACTGGTAATCTTGGGCAAACAATTTGAACACCATTTTATCAGCTGTAAATGGTAGTAATAATTTTCAAGTATTTGGGTGGGGAGGAGTTAAATGACATAATTAAAAAGGATTCAGTACAGTGTCAGATGTATAAGAATCACTCATAAGTGCCACTGTGTCAGATTTACTGAGCATTTACTCTATTGTCGTCTTCACATTACCTCTGCAAACTAAAAGTTATTCTATTATTTAGATTCAGAAAGAAAAATTAAGAAAGTAAACTAATGGGGCGCCTGGGTGGTTTAGTCGGTTAAGCGTCCGACTTTCGCTTAGGTCATGATCTCGCGGTTCATGGGTTCGAGCCCCACGTCGGGCTCTGTGCTGACTGCCAGCTCAGAGCCTGGAGCCTGTTTCAGTCTGTGACTCCCTCTCTCTCTGACCCTCCCCTGCTCACGCTGTCTCTCTCTCTCTCTCCTAGAAATAAATAAAACATTTAAAAAAAAAAAAAAAAGAAAGTAAACTAATTGGATCAGTGTGAAAAATACTGAAGGAGGTCCTAATGAGTTCACAGTTGAGAGATCATTAATAATTTCTGTTAATAGATCACTATGAGGTTTAAGTAAATAACTCAGAAATTGTTTAAAGAATTGAATGGATTGCTGTAACAAACTGCATTCCATTCTCATCCACTTCTTTATGTAAACATAATCCCTTCCTTCATTCCTTCCTTCCTTCAGTAAAATAAAAACTGAAAACATTACATGAATACAGTAAAAAATCCTACAGATATCCTATAAAAAGGATTTTACATTAATATATATCATACAAAGTGGAATATTTCTACAGGCAGATGTACAGGAAAAAAATTGAGGTAAAAAGGAAGACAGAAAAAAAAGAAACAAGAAATATAAGAAGAGCACTGAAGGATACAAAACAATAAAAGCTTCTATATTTTATTCTTACTTACATTGTATGAGGATACCTGCTCAGCCAATCTCTTTTCCCTTCCTGACAATATATGTTCTTCATCCTTCTTATTGAATGACTTCTTTGCTTCCTGTGTTTCCTGAAGAATGAACACAGGTTGTTAACACATTACTGAACCGTATAGTTAAGAAAAAATTAAAAAAAAAAAAAAAAGGAAATACTATTACTTTTACTCAGACTGAGTAAATAAGAGACTAGAGTAAGAGTGTTGAATCTTTTCCCACTAGGCATATAAATATAGTTGGTAAGGGATCAGTTTATGTACTATTCAATGATTTTCTTGAAAACAAGAAGAAAACCTATTCAAATCAATAGAAAAACCTATTCATTAGTTGTGTGTCTCAAACTCACAAAGGAGTTTGACAAATAATGATGAAATGTGGGAGAGGAAATTAGGCTTTAAAAGAAATCCTAGAGGGGGACCTGGCTGGTTCAGTTGGTAGAGCATGCAACTCTTTAGCTCGGGGTTATAAGTTTGAGTCCCATGGTGGGTATACTGATTACTTAAAAATAAAGTCTTAAAAAAAGTAAAAAAGAAATCCTACATTATTTGTTTTTAAAAGCAGTAATATGATTCTTGAGGGAAAAAAAGAAAAATAAAGGGTTTACAGTTTGGAAAATAAATAATAAAACTATCTTTATTCACAGATGACATGGCTGTTTATGTAGAAGACTCCAAAGCATCCATGAAAATACTCCTGGAACTAATAAGCAAGTACACTGGAGCAAAGCTGCAGGATAATACAAGGTCAATATACCAAATATACCAACAATGGACAACTGGGATTTGAACTTAAAAAAATTTGACAGTAGTGTATACACAAGATGAAGTACTTAGATTTCCAACAAATTTTAATTAGAAGAAAAAAAAATTCTAGAGAATAGTGTCAACCAGGGTTGAGAAAAGCCCACATAAGAACAATTTAAAAGCTCTGTTCTCTAAGCATATTTTAATACTGCTGCTATCTGCCTAAGAAAACCAAGAAGGTCATCTATAATGTTTATCTGAATAATGTATAAAACAGGGGCGCCTGGCTGGCTCAGTTGGTAAAACACGTGACTTTTGATCTCAGGGTTTGAGTTCAAGCCCCATACTGGGTGTGGAGCCTACTTAAAAAAATGTACAAAACAACAGTATATTTGCTAACGTATGTTAAAAACATAGGAATAGCTCAGTTCTTATTTTCCCATACAAATTTTCCTAGAAAACATGCTTTTGTTTATTAATATTAAGGGAAAAATGATGTTATAGTAAGATGGTGATAAAAACCTGACCATTTAATATTAAACATTAATAGATCTAGTCAAGACTGGGAGGTAAGTTAATAATAGATGTCAGTCAATTCTATTTATTTATTTATTTATTTATTTATTTTAAAGCAATGTTTGTTTATTTTGAGAGAGAAAGTGCTTGAGCAGGGGAGCGAAAGAAGGAGAAAGAGAATTCTAAGCAGGCTGTGTGCTGTCAGAAGGAGCCCGACACATGGCTCAATTTCATGAACCATGAGAGCATGACCTGAGCCGAAATCAAGAGGCAGAAACTTAACTGACTGAGCCACCCAGGCACCCCTCTACCTAACATTTCAAGAATTAATACCTATTCTTAAACTATTACAAAAAACAGAAAAGAAAACTTCCAAGTTCACTCCATGAAGCCAACATTACTCTGAAACTGAAACCAAATAAAGACACTACTACAAAAGAGAACTATAGGTCAATATCTCTGATGAGCATAGATGTAAAAATTCTCAATAAAATACTAGCAAACTGAATCCAATAATACATGAAAAAAATCATTTTCTATGATCAAGTGGGGTTTATTCCTGAGTTGCAAGGGTGGTTCAATATTTGCAAATCAATCAATGTGAGACATCACATTAATAAAAGGGTAAGAATCACATGATCATTTCAATAGATGCAGAAAAAGCATCTGAGAAAGTATAACATCCATTCATGATAAAAATCCTCAAGAAAGTAGGTGTGAATGGAGGGAGCATAGCCTCAACATAATAAAGGCTATCTATGAAAAATCCACAGCTAAGATCATCCTAAATGTGGAAAACAGATTTTCCTTTACTGTCAGGAATAAGACAGGATTGTGCACTTTCAGCATTTTTATTCAACATAGTGCTGGAAGTCCTAGCCACAGCAATCAGACAACGAAATAAAAAGCATCCAAATCGGCAAGGAAGAAGTGAAAGTCACAGCACAAAAATCAATGTATAGAAATCTGTTGCATTTGTATATACCAATAATGAAGCAAGAGAAAGAGAATTTAAGGAATTAATCCCATGTACAACTGCACCCAAAACAATAAGATACATAGGAATAAACCTAACCAAAGACGTGAAAAACCTGTGCTCTGAAAACTATAGAACACTGATGAAAGACAATCAAGATGATACAAAGAAATGGAAAGACATTCCAGGCTCCTAAATTGGAAGAACAAATATTACTATTCAAAGCAATCTACACATTTAATGTAATCCCTATCAAAATACCAACAGCATTTTTCACAGAGCTCAAACAAATATTCCTAAAATTTGTATGGAACCACAGAAGACTCTGATTAGCCAAAGCAATCTTGAAACAAAAACAAAACCAAGTTGGAGGTATCACCAATTACAGACTTCAAGTTATATTACAAAGCTGTAGTAATCAAAACAGTATGGTACTGGCACAAAAACAGACACACAGATCAATGGAACAGAATAGAAATCCCAGAAATGAACACACAAGTATATGGTCAATTAATCTTTGACAAAGCAGGAAAGAATATCCAATGGGAAAAGGAATGTCTCTTCAACAAATGGTGCTGGGAAAATGGGACAGCCACATGAAAGAACAAAACTAGACCACTGTCTTATACCAAACACAAAAATAAATTCAAAATGGATTAGAGACATAAATGAGAGACTCAAAACCATAAAAATCCTAGAAGGGCGGGCGGTCTGGGTGGCTCAGCAGGTTGAGTGTCTAATTCTTGATTTTGGCTCAGGTCAAGATCCCAAGGATGGTACGACTGAGCCCCATGTCAGGCTCTACGCTGAGCATGGAGCCTGCTTAAGATTCTCTCTCTTTCTCTGCCCCATTCCCTTGCTCTCATGCTCCCTCTTAAAATAAATAAATGAAATAATAAAATATTCTAGAAGAGAACATAAACAGTAACTTCTCTGACATTGGCCTTAGTAACTTCTTCTCTAGATAGATCTCCTTAGGCAAGGGAAACCAAAAAATAAAATACTAGCACTACATCAAAATAAAAAGCTTCTCCACAGTGAAGGAAACAATCAACAAAACTAAAAGATGACCGATGGAATGAGAGAAGATATTTGCAAGTGAGATATTGGATAAAGAGATAGTATCCAAAGCCTATAAAAAACTTATCAAACTCAACACCCCAAAACCAAATAATCCAATTAAAAAATGGGCAGAAGACCTACAGATGGCCAACAGATACATGAAAACATGCCCAACATCACTTATCATCAAGGAAATGCAAATCAAAACTATAATGAGATACCCCACACCTGTCAGAATGGCTAAAATCAACAACACAAGAAAAAACAAATGTTGATGAGGATGTGGGGAAAGGAGAACCGTCTTTATTCTATTGGTGGGAATGAAAACTGGTGCAGCCACTGTGGAAAAGAGTATGGAGATTCCTCAAAAGGGTAAAAATAGAACTACCCTGTAACCTGGCAATTGCACTACTAGGTATTTATCCAAAGAATACAAAGATACTAACTTCAAGGAATACATGCACCCTGATGTTTATAGGAGCCAAATTATGGAAACAGCCCAAGTATCCATCAATTGATGAACAGATAAAGAAGGTGTGGTATATATATAAATGGAATATTATACAGACATAAAAAAGAATGAAATCTTGTCATTTTCAGTAATACAGACGGAGCTACAGCTTATTATGCTAAGCAAAATGTCAGTGAACAAACACCATTATGATTTCATTCATCTGGGATTTAAGAAATAAATGAGCAAATGAGGAAAAAAAAAAAGGCAAACCCGGAAACAGACTCTTAACTATAGGGAACAAACTGATGTTACCAGAAGAGAAGTGGGTGGAGAGATGGGTTAAATTGGTGATGGGGATTAAGAAGGGCACTTGTGAGCATCAGCGGTTGTACGAAGTGCTGCATCATTATATTGTACCCTTGAAACTGCTATTACACATATGTTAACTAACTTGAATTTAAAGAAAAACTTAAAATCTGTCAAAAGGGAAATTTTGCTAAAATCTGCTGACAAAAATTAGTCATAAACTTTACACAGAATGAAATATACAAGAAAATGAATGGCTCTCCAATACTGTATAGTTTATACTATAAATATAAGTCTGTGGCACTATATGCTTTATTTTGTTAAGCTTTTATTTTGAGAAAGAGCGAGAAAGAGAGAAAGAGTGAGAAAGAGAGAAAGAACAAGCCTCAGTGAGAGAAGGAGAGAGTCCCAGGCAGGCTCCGCACTATCAGTGCAGCATCTAATGTGGGGCCTGAATTCACAAACCATGAGTTCACAACCTGAGCCAAAATCAAGAGTCAGATGCCTAACCAACTGAGCCACCCAGGCCTCTCTGTTAATATAGAATACCATACAATTTAAGGAGTATTAATAGTCCCTTTAAGAGTTTGCTGTAGAACTGAACAAAATATTTTCAAGTACCAAAAAGAAAAAGATCTAAAGAACTGCATCATAGGGCCTAAAATCACTGTGTTGTTTGATTTCCATTTGCTCCATTTTACTGTAAAATTTTCCTCTGAAGAAGTGTCCCTGCATATCTGGCTGTAGGCTAGACATGTATTTACCCATAGTGAGGAACAGAAGGACAGAGAAAAGCAAACTGAAATGGAAACATGAATAAATCCATGTAAACAAGGGAATGTCTTTTTGGGAAACAATTTTAAAGGCTAAATTATAAAAACCTCAATATATTATGTTAATAAAACAACAGTTTAAAAAAAAGACTAGACAGGCACCACCACACTAGTCATTCAAAGTGTGTGGCTCACTTCCACACCACCTCTTTCGTTGCCTCTTCTACCCCAGGGTGTTGGTTCATCTCAACTTCCTATTATAACTCTTAGATTTCCTTTAATCTTCTGGACAAAGAGAACTTACAATTTTGGCACATATGTAAGGTAGGGTGCTAAAATCTGGAGACATTATCATACCATCTACATTTTAAGAATAACCCAGGGGGTGCCTGGGTGGCTCAGTCAGTTAAGCGTCCGGCTTCAGCTCAGATCATGATTTCACAGTTTGTGGGTTCAAGCCTCACATCCATCTCTGTGCTGACAGCTCAGAGATTAGAGCTGTTTCGGATTCTGTGTCTCTCTCTCTGCCCCTCCCGCGCTCATGCTCTGTCTGTCTCTCTCTCTCTCTCAAAAATAAACACTAAAAAAAAAGAAAAAAGAATAACACAGAGTATTTTATAACCAATTCTCCACTAAAATGAAAACTCCATAAGAAGCTTTTCCAGGGCACCCAGGTGGCTCAGTTGGTTAAGCATCTGACTCCTGATTTTGGCTCAGGTCATGATCTCATGGTTTTTAAGATCGAGCGCTGCATAGGGCTTTGTGTGCCAGCACGGAGCCTGCTTGGGATTCTCTCTCTGCCCTGCCCCCACGTGTGTGCATACACGCTTGCTCTCTTTCTTTCTCTCTCAAAAAATAAATAAGCTTGAGAGAGAAATAAAAAGAAGCTTTTCCATTTTGCTATTACCTGCAACCAAACTGAATGCCTTGGCAGAGAAGGTGTTCAATTTATTGTTACAGAATGAAAAGTGAAGACCTCATAATTCTTGGTAATGATGGACAAGATAAGCAGAGTGGAGGAATGAATGAAGTGTGGAACTATGTAAGTCAAAACTGGTAAAGCTATAGGCATCAGGTGCCAATTACTCAACCATTTAAATTTGAATTAAAGGGAATAAAAACCACCAGATGGAGTAAATTTAAGAAGTTGTAAAAAAAAAAAAAAAAGAAGTGGTGCTGGGGGTGTTTCTAATTTACAATGGTTCAATTCCTAATTTATAATGGAAGATTTTGTAAAAAGTAGAGTCAATAATGCATCCTATCCAAACTTCTTTTCTTAGTTAAAAAAAATTTTTTTTTACATTTATTTATTTTTGAGAGACAAAGTACAAGTGGGAGAGGGGCAGAGAGAGAATGAGACACAGAATCCAAAGCAGGCCTCAGACTCTGAGCTGTCAGCACAGAGCCCGACATGGGGCTCAAATTCATAAGCTGTGAGATCATGACCTGAGCTGAAGTCGGGCACTTAACCAACTGAGCCACCCAGGTGCCCCAAACTTCTTTTCTTTTTTGGCAAATTATTTAATGTACTAATCAAAGTGGTTCTTTTTTTAAAAAACTGAGGTATAAATTGATGAAGCATTTTATTAGTTTCATGTGTACAACATAATGATTTGATATTGGTTATATACTGTAATCAAAATAAGTCAACATCCATTACCATACACAGCTACCAATGTGTTTTCCATTTGTGATGAGAACTTTCAAGATCCACTCTCCTAGCTAATTTCAAATATGCAATACAGTATTATTAAGTGTAGTTACCATGCTGTACCTTATATCCCCATGAGTTTTATTCACTTTATAACTGGTAAGTTGTACCTTTTGACCCATTTCATCCATTTTTGCCTCCCCCTCCTCCAGGCAACCAACAATCTATTCCCTATATGCATGACTAGGTTTTTTTTTTGTTTGTTTTGTTTTTTGGTTTGTTTGTTTAGATTCTGCATAGACAAGAGATCATACAGTATGCAGCACTATAGACAAAAGCATTTCTTGCGTATCTTGACAGTAACACAAAGCTTAATGCACCTGAAGTAAGATCATTTTGTGAGAGAATCTCTATGTACCACTTAACCTAAGTGAATCTGTGGCTTTAGTTTCAGGGAGACAGTATGATGTTGCATAAGGACTAGGAATTTAGGATTATAGAAAGGTCTAGAATAGAATTATTATTCATTACTTACCAGCCCTCTAATTCCAGAAAAGTGGACCTCATAAAAGTTAGTTTTTCTCTCTATATAAAATGAAGTCAGTAAGTTCAGGTCTCTGGGTTTTCTCAAGATTTAAATGAGATAATTCATTGGGAAACAGTAAGCAATTGGTGTCACTTTCCTTATTTTCTCTCAGGGAGAAATCTATACTTTCCCTTTGGAATCGTAATTTAAAAAACAGTACCCTTAAATCATCATGCCTTCTATCTTTTCAAAATACAGCGAACGTGGGCAGAAATACAGAGACAGACAAGCTCTCACCTTAGCTCTCCTCTCCCTGTCAGCTGGAGTGTCTGTCCAGACAGACCGATCTCCAGATTTGTCCTCGGCCCGCCTCTTAAAAGTTCTGGGCCCAAGACCAAAGTCTTTCATTTCTGGAGGGAGCTCAGTCATCCATGACTCTCTTGTAATTGGTTTAGATGAGTCCTTTAAAAGAAGAAAGAAGTCAAACAGTGGAAAAAAAAAAAAGTAGACTGGAAAGTGTTTGTGTGTAAGATACTCTGTAAGTGGTCATGTTTCTCAATTGAGGCTTTAAGAGAAAGAATTTAATATAAAGAATTGATATTTTGTCATATAGGTTACAATGACCTCATCTAATTTATTGTTCTTTAGACTCTGTTATCTTTTGCCACACAGAAATTTTTAAATAGGCAAAATTTGCCAGTCTTTTCCTTTTACAGTTTCTAGGTTACCTTGCTCCTAAGTTTTCTTTATATACTTATTGCATATATTTTTATTTATATTATTTACATTATGTTATTATTTCCTTACATTATTTATATACGTAATGCACCTATTTTCTTTCATCTGTATTTTAAAATTTAGATTTTTAATCCATTTAGCCAATTTCTCAGAGTATAGTATATTTAAAACTTACATCGTCTCCTCTGGTCAGTTTTTCTTTCATTCGTTGGGCCCTTTTTTCAAACTCTGTTGTCACGCTGTAGTTAACTGGTCCTTTTGCAGGCATGGGTCCAACAATATCCTCATCTTCACTGCTATCTGTTTCCTTTTGAAATAAGACATTACCTCTAAACCAGGAGCAGAGCTAAGATTATAGAAAATGATCTCTTTGCTGAGATATTTCCAACTCATCAGTCTTCGGTTTAGACATTTTCTCAGAGACAAAGACTTTTTCTCATTTCTTCAGATTAGTTTAGATTCCCCTGTCATGGTTCCTTTGTATTTTGTCTTACCTTTTGAATCACTAATAATGTTAGATGTTTGTGTAATGTCTATAGTTCCCACTGCCCTACAGGTGTGATTAGTGTGATTATCTGGGACTATGTCTATCTCACTCATTCATTCAACAAATACTTCTGAATGTCCTCTAGGAAGAAGAAAAAAATCTCTGTTCTCAACATTCTAGTGGGAAGGAGTCAACAATAAACAAAAAGCAGTAACATATGGTATATGAGGTGGTGACAGATGGTACGGAGAAAATTAAAGGCTGGAAGGAGAGATGGGTAAGGGGAAGAGGAGTTAGCAATTTTGAATTAGGGGGCCAGAAACGACCTCACTAAGGTGACATTCCAGTCCCGAAGTGAAGTTCTGAGAGGCAAGCCACATAGGTATCTAGGGGAATACCACTTTGGGAAGACTTTGCAGGTATGAACACTCAGGGGTGGGAGCCTGCCCGGTGTATGTGAGGAGGTACAATAGGGAGCATAGTGTGGTCTTATTGAAGTAACAGAGAAAATCATGGAGCTCAAGGAGATCGGATTATAATGTGTATCTGTAGTTTTTATTTTTTATTTAAAAAGTTTTTATTTTGTTTAAAAAGAAAAACATTTTTTAATGTTTATTAATTTCTGAGAGAGAGACAGAGGGGAAGAAAGAGACAGACCGAATCTGAAGCAGCCTCTAGGCTCTGAGCTGTCAGCACAGTGTAAGGGCTCTGGTTTTTTACTGTTTTAATTTTTCATTTTTTAAAAGTAATCCCTACATCCAACATGGGGCTCAAGCTCAAAATGCCACAATCAAGAGTCGCATGCTCTACTGACTGAGCCAGCCAGGCACCTCGGGGTTTGGCTTTTATGTAGAGGGAGGAGAAGCAATGTGATAGTTCTGAGTGTGAGTTAGTGACACAATCTGACTTCATTTTACCCAGGCTGCTCTAGCTGCTGTGTTGAGAGCAGGTAGCAAAAAAACAAGGTTTAAAATATCAAGACCAATAAACAGATGAACTCTGATGTTGACTTAGACTAGGGTGGGAGCAGAAATGGTTGGGACTGTGGATGTCCTTTGAAGGTGGGAGCAACTGGACTTGCTGATGGACTCATTCCTGTGACCATGTGCCTGATACCATGTAGGAGGTGCTCTCTAAGTGTCTGTTGAAGGAAGGAGTAAATGACTCTGAAGTTCATGGTCTTAACCACTGTATTATATTTTCCTTAGTAACAGCCACAGTGTAACTGCTCAGTTCTCAGTAGAGACGAACATCCAGGAAGTTACTGCAGAATAACAGACTGAACAGGTGATCTAAAGCCTGAAGAACTGGGTTAAGGGGCACCTGGCTGGCTCAGTCGGGAGAGCGAGTGACTCTTGATCTTGAGATTGTGAGTTTGAGCCCCTCACTAAGAGCACAAATTTACTTTAAAAATAAAAAAACTTGAAAAAGAAAAGAACTGGGTTTAAGCTTTGGCTTCGATTAGTGCAAACTGCAAGCTTGGGTAAGTTATCTAATTTCTCTGGTTTTAAGTATCTGTAAGATGGTGGATCATATCTATTTCATAAGGTTACAGAGAAGATAAAAATAATATCCATATATGGGGAAAAAGCATTACATATTATAAAGTACTCTACAAATCTCAGCTACCGGTAAGGACTAGGCCTTGAACAAGAAAACAGATTTCATACTTGACTTTAAAATCATTGACCCATCTTTTCATAAAATCACTTTACTACCAGCTTTGTTATACACAGGCACCAAAGATGGATAGGTAAGAACTAATTTCAAGGTAAAATCATTATCAAAAAATTCCTCAGCTGTTTCTTTTTCAGGTCAAGTCACCATGATTCCTTAAACTTTTCATCATGTTCTATTTTCTGGCACTTTAAACCTTCCCTTCAAGGATGAGAAGCATGAATAGGTAACATCCTGTCAACATGTAACTGCCCGTTATTTTTCTAACATCTCAGTTCTGTGACAAGCTTTTGATTTCGTCTACCTTACAATCCTAGATTAATGTGAATGTAACTGCATATTAGTTACATTTGATTATAGTTTATCAATCCAAATGATTATAGTTATCACTCTGCAAATTCTTGAGTTTGTTACATCTTATTCTTTAGTCAAAAATTTTCCAAACCTCATAGTTGAAATATGATGATACTTGTTGTCCTGGATCATCTCTGCCTTTGTCACTTTTCTGTGTAGATTTAATAAAACCAGGTGGTAATGCAGGACCTATTATAGGCCTGAAAAATAAAATGTACCTTTAACATTCTCCCTGACTTTCAAAAGTAGTTTTTAGAATAAGAGTTCACAAAAAAGAATAAATAACCAAATAATAACATATATTGAAAATGAGAATTTCATTTAACATATTATTTGTATTTTATAACCTAGTATTTTTCCATTTAGTATCTTAAAAATATCTAATTTTCTCATTTTTATTTTCTATTTGTCAATGATAAGATACTAAACCAATAATTCTTAACAGCAGTGATGTATACCCACTTCCTAAAAGAAATCCATTCAATAAAAATATTTTTCTAAAAGTCCTTATTAAGAAATAAATACTGTGAAGATCTTTTTCTATTTTGTGCCTTGGCTTTCAGTTTTGATATTCACCGACCACTGACAAGTACTTTAGGTGTGTTATAGTTATAGTTAGAATTCCTTAAATATAAATTGAGCTCTAAGAACACAAGCAGCTCACATATACAGAGATGTTGGCAATTTATGGTTACGTGTGCCATGGTGGTATACAAATCTGAGCACTGTCCTCACTAACAATATAGTAATGATGTGGAAGTGCACAAGAATAAAAAGTTGTTTGAGACCTACAGACAGAGGAAAAGGTGCAGTGCTAACCACATTTCACCCAGAGCACTTTTCTGTTTCCTTCAAACAACCCCGGTCAGTATAAGTAACTCCATTTTCTAGGTGAGCAAAATAATGCCCAAGGACCCTACCAACTAGTAAGTGGTAGCACCGGAGTTTGAACCCTGGGCTCCTTGATATCAAGTTCATTTTCTTTCAAGTTGCCCTACTGCTACATTTCTGAGGGAACTGATATCAGTCCAAATGGGAAAAGTGCGTAAAATCTGGGGCTTAAAAAGAGAAAGACTTGCTTCAGGGAAAAAAAATAACAGAGACAAGATATTTTCTACTCTTTTTCATAACTTTTAAGTTTCTTCATTCTTTCCTTTGTACCGATGTTTCCCCCAGAGATGTCACTGTGCCAGTATTACCATCCCAGATGGCAGTGAGGTCCTAAGCTGACTTTTCCAGGTTGCACTGTGTTCAATTAGTCTCATAGACAGGCTTCCTGGCAGAGGAAAAAACGGTATTGAGTCAGAAGGTCTGGGTTCTGATCCTGACCACTTAATAGTCAAATATAACTCTCAAGAAAGAAACTGCTGTACTTCTAATAATGTGCTTTCTTGAAAAGAAGGTTATGCCCCAGCGGTTAGCAAATGCTCTGTAAAAGGCCTGAGAGGACATTTTAGGCTTTGAGGGCCATATATAGGTCTCTTAGGCATGCCTGTCTTTGTTTTTTAAATGACCCTTTAAAGATTATTCTTGGCCTGGGGGCCATACAAAATCAGGCAGTAGAGAGTCTAGCCTGGTTACTTCCAAAAGGTCCAAAGTTAAATGAAAACTGGAGCTGAAAAATAAGATTATAAAGTTTGAATATAAAATATACAAGTCTTTTTGACTTGTTCTTGCATATTGGTAACAGTACTCTGAATTATGAACAAGTTGGTGTACAATTTCATATTCAGCATTAAAAATTTTACAATTCTGAGAAGACAAGAATCAAGACTTAACTATATGCTCACCTGGGGCCAGGCATCGTGTAAGAGGCACACACGCAGACACACCTATGTGCATGTACGTAAATATGAAATCTCAATCACCACGACAATTTTGAAAGGTATGTACTGTTACCCTAGTTTTCAGATGGCAATTTTGAGGTACAGAGAAGTTAAGTTAGTCGAATTGTTAACGTGGCACATGAGAATTATTCTTTCTGTCACCAAATAACTAAGAAAGTATCTGACTTTAATGTTAAATGTTAGGATTCCAGTCCCAGGCCCACTGCTTACTGTGTGTGCAACCGTATCTATTTAAAAAAAGGGGAAGGAGGGGTAACGTTCCACTCAGTTTACCATAGAACACTCTTGTGAGCATCAACTAAGGGATGTGAAAGTTTTTTTTAAAAAACTACAGAAGTGTTTATAGGCATGTAAATAGGCATTTTTGTTACAGGAAACAAGTTACTTTTCCCTATGCATTTCAAACGTTCTATAAATCTGTAAGTTAAAAAACAATTTTGGACAACTCTTTACTGAATCAACAAACACTAACTGAAATAGTTGGAAAAGACTGGACTGAAATACTACACATTGTCACCTTGGAGGAGAGTCATCCTGCTTTTTAAATCCGGGAGGAAGAGCTGGTCCGAAAAACCCTTCATCATCATCGTCGTCATCCTGACTTCTCCTCTGCTTTCTAAAAGCACAGTAGTACAGCTTTATGCAAATTGTATTCCACAGAGAAAATTTTAAGTCTTAAAGGAAGTGTCAACTCCAACTAGTTGTATAAACACTGAAACCATACGTTGATCCTGCCCAGGAAGAACAAATGGACACCACGGTTGATCTAATATTAACCTTTCCCTGGAATTTATTTTTGGCCTAAAATAGTGACAGATTGGTTAATGCTCCATGGCAGTAGTTTTCTGTATTTTCTATAGAATTAAAGATTCCACTTTGCTGAAGTTTGGAATAGTTTATTTGCTGAATGTTTTTGAGCAAAAAATTTCATGCTAGTTTTTATCTCATTCAGGAAGGTTTTAAGTTGTGATTTCTGTCTTATCTTTAAAATGCATCAAAAAACCCTTGCTACCCAATACTAAACAAATATTCCATTTCTTATTTACATGGACCTATGGTAAGGAAGGGTAGTTAGTGGGCAATCATTCATTTAGTTAAGCAAAAACCATCCACTGAATAAATAACTTTTAAAAGAAATCCTATGGCTAATTCAGTACATGTACTTAGTCACTTCAGTAATACCTTAAGAAAAAGTCTTTTGTATAAGAATTGAATTGAAATCCTAGATATCTCCACAACTATCTACTACTAGAATAAACTTCTTTCTAGAAGGTATAGTTCCTGAGGAAATGCCATATGAAACAATTTCTTCCTGTGCTGTAAAAATACAGATACAGCATTCCTGATTATCTATGCCAGCCAATGCATACTAGGTTTGAAGCTTGGTTTATCATTCAAGTGACTGACCTTGCACTTGGACCAGTGTCATCTTCTTCAGATTCTTGATTTCCTTCTTCGTACAATGAACTACTGTCCTCGTCACTGTCTGATGACTCTGAGCTACTGCTTTTATAATTAGGGGGCAGAGCTGGTCCTGCAACTATAGAAGATTTCTTGTGTAAGTTGTAACTGGCCACAACTGTTTCAATGAATACCCTGGCTGACACTTTATACTTTCTTTTATATTTTATAAAAGTATATATTTTATATTTTCTTACACTACGTATCTTCCCAGTCTTCTCTGGCTATCACTTATTACGAACTTTTATCTCATTTGTTCCTGTTTTGTGCACAAAAAAACTAAGGGAAGGGATTCAGATTACAAATGGAAGGACTGGCCTTAGAAGGTAGTGCACCTTATCTGTTGTAATCACAGGAAAGACAAAAAAGCTGGGCATAGATTCAGGAAGTTTTCAGGCATAGTGACCGAAAACAGAGGAAGTTCTTTTAAGATGGCATTTACTCTTCCAGTGAAGTAGAGGGAAAGATAGCCTAAGGGAAAAAAGAGGCTTTTTAAAAAACCATGGTTGATACTAGAGAAAGAGAGCTGCATAGGAAAACCCTCTGAGGACTGCTGGGCAGAGCTGAGAACCCAATTAGGGAGGAGACAGTAACATTTAGTTACATTATCTTGTAGAATTATTAAGTTTTTTTCTAGCAGCATTTGGAAGGCTGGATGGAGGCCCATGAGAGGTAAACATTTGGACTGATCCAGAGCTAGGTTTTCGCCAGATGAGTTTAACAGGATACCCAATGGGTAAGGCAGTTGAAAATACTGCAAGACAGTGGATGAACTGATGGACCGTGAAGTCTAGGTCAAGTAGGGGCAGAAGTAATTAAAAGGAGGAGGCCAAAAAGGATAGAAGGCAGAGGCTGCAGAGCTCACTGAGGTTAAACAACAACAACAAGTCTAACAAGAGTAACTTGAGTGAGAATGATGGCTGAATAAGGGGTTCTTGCTGAGAAAGAAATTTGAGTTTAAGTCTTCAGAGATGGAACAGAGTCCAGTGTATGATTACAAATGCAGTTGAAATTAGTGGAGATGATGGTCAGTGCAGATGAGGAGTCTGAAGCTGGGGTCAAAATAGCGAAGGCTCCATCTAGCTTCTACAAGCAGCACTTGGAGTACATGGACTGGTCTTGAGAAAACATCTCTACACCCCTCTCCCCGAGTTTTCTAATGACATGATCTTAGGGGACATTTCCCAGCATTCAATATTCCAGGGTATTTGAGTAAAATTAATTTGTCCCATCTTAGACCTGTGTGCTCACTCCCTCCTCCAAGCTCTGCTAGTAATCTCTTTCAGGGGGTAGCTGAGTGTGAGGAACATGGGGCAGATATCAGACTGGGTTCAAGAATTCCGACCCGAGGGAAATTCTGGCGCACACTACATGGATGAACCCCAAAGACATTACGCTAAGTGAAATATGCCACTCAAAAAAAGATAGATATTGTATGATTCCACTTATTTGAGAGACCTAGAGTAGTTAAATTTACAGAGACAGAAAGAAGAAGGGTGGCTGCCAGGGGCTGGGGGACGAGGGCATGGGCACTTACTGGAAATGGATAGTGGTGATAGTTGCACAATGTTAATGTACTTAGTAATTAACTGTACACTTAAAAGGTGGTTAAGATGGTAAATGTTTTGTATATTTTACCAGAATGAAAAAGAAAAAAACTAGATGCGTATTTATGGTCATATGATTTATAAAGAAGGTGACATTATAGTGCAGTGGGGGAAGGGAGGATGTATCAGTTGGATACCTGTAAGGAAAAAAAAAATCTTCACCCCTACCTCACGCCATACACAAGAATCAATTCCAGATGGACTGCAAATATAAATGTGAAAGATAAAACAGTAATTCTCATAGGATAAAACAAAGGAGCACAACTCTGTAACCTCAGTGGAGGCAAAGACTACTTAAAAAGGGTACAAACAGCTCTAACCATAACAGAAGAAAAACTAAAAAACACAATGTATGGAAATTAAAAACTTTTGTTCATTAACACATACTAATGAGAGTGAAAAGGCAAGCCACAGAATTAGAGGAGATATTTGCAATATGCATAACTGAAAAATGACTTGTCCAGACTATATAAAGAACTCAGCAACAACAAAAACAACAAAGAGCTCAACAGGTCAGTAAGGAAAGACAGAAAGATCAGTGGAAAAATGAACAAAAGCTGGACACACACCCAAATTTCCAAAAAACTTATGAACGGGTAGTCAACTTCAGTTGTTACCAGAGAGATACAAATTAAAACTACCATAGCTACTACTACAAACCACTATATTAAAAAGACAGAACAAACCAAGTGAGAATATGGAATGATGAGAATTCTCATACATGCTGGTAGAAGTGTAAATTGGTGTTACTTTCGAAACTGTTTGGCAGTATGTACTAAAGCTGAATGTATGCATATCCAATGATCCAAACATTTCAAAAGGAATGCAACATGTGTTCACCAAAAGACATGTACTATAATGCACAGCAGCACTTTATTAACTGCAAAAAAAGGGAAACTACTCAAATGTCCATCAATAATAAAATGGATAAGTAAATTGCAGACCATTCACATAACAGACCAATAACACCCATAATAATTCACCAATGTGATGAATCTCACAAGATAATGTTATACCAAAACATGAAGCCAGTTACAAAAGAGTTCCTATTGTACTTCTGCATTTACAGGAAGCACACAAAATCAATCTATGGTAAGTCAAGGAAGTAGTTACCCTTTGGTTGAAAGAGAGATGGGGAGGCAGGTAGTGACTGGAAAACGGCACAAGGGGAACTTCTCTGGTGTGATGGAGTGTATTTCAAGGACACTGGTACTGAAAAACTTCATAAGAATCCAGATAGAAGAATAATGAGATAAAAAAAATATTACAACACTTTTTGGCAACAGTTTTAGGATCAGCCATCTAGGAGGTTATGAAGGCAATGGAATTTTAGTAGGAGGGATTTTATGGGTTAAAAATGACACACTGTGTGCAAGATACTGTGCTTGGTGAAGAAGTGAAATCAACAAATGTCTACCAAGGATCTTTCACGGGTCAGGCAGGGGTTAAGCTTGGTCAAGACAGAGGGGGCCACACAAATCCAGTGTGAAGCGCTAAGCATAGGGGTGAGAAGAGAAGGAATGCCCAAAAGAAACAGACCTGAGAGAGTGAACAGAGAAAGGAGTACCTAGAATAAATGCTGTACCTAGAATGATGGAAGCAAATCATAACAAAAGCATCTATTTGGGAGATAGTGGTTATTTACCTGCAAATCCTGCATTGGTTTAAAATCAGGGAATATGGTGAACCAAAAACAACATACATGTAGAAACCATACTAAAAAACTTGGTTAATCCCACTTTTCTTAAAATTTGATTGAACCCATCCTTCCTTGCTAAAAATAAAAATATGACTTTTTAACAGTTATAACAGAAAGGAGATCTGGAAGAAAATCCTCTAGGTAGAAACATGGCCTCCAGGTAGTCAAAGAATGAAAATTAGATTAATAAATGGGAAGGTTACTCTTTACTCTTTTCCAGCTTTGGTGTCCATCCCAGTCTACAAATTAGAGCAAACATTAAAGGAGAAAGATACACATCAACAGTCTGAAAAGCATTTATTTGGCAAATACAAAGTACCCACACCGTGTTAAGGCTAGAAAACCATACTATAATGGTGCAAGCAGATATGCCGGTAAATTATTCAAAAAAGTATATTAAATATGTGATGTAATTAAATGGAAGAAAACCCCGTGGGGGAAATAAGAAGGCGTGACAATGCCTGGGAGAGTCTGGAAATGCTTCACTGAAGCCTTCACTGGCACTGAAGTTGGGCCTGGGAGCATGGGGTAGGAGTTTGAGATGTTATGTCAAAAAATGCAGAGTGAGGCCAGAAAAAGCCTTAGAAAACTGAGCAACTGCGCAGAAATTGGGGCCAGTTCAGCACTGGGCTGTGTGTGTCAGGTGCAGGGCCAGGACGAGAGGCTAGGAAGGCAGGTTGGGGGCTAGGGAGCAAAGCATCCCCTGTGAGAGCCAAGAGCATTGTTCGTCAGAAGGCAATAGGGCACAGAGGTTAGAGCACTGGCTGGGTTCCAAATTGCGCTCCACCACTGACCAGCTGTGTGACAGGGGCGACAGTCTGGGCTTGTGTTCCCGTTTATAACTTGGAAATGATAATCTTTACCTTATAGGGTTTCTTGGAGAATTAAATGACTGCGTATCGAACGTTTAGCAGTGGATCCAGCCCATTAAACGTTAAATGGGAATACAACCTCATTATAATGATTGATTATCAACCCCCAACCCCCTCCGGCGTCACCTCTCCGCTACTGCTACGGCTAGAGAAGCAAAGTTAGCTCCGGGCCGCCGCGCACACTTGCCACTGCTCCGCCCTTTCAGGCCTTAGACCTCAGTTCCGAGAGCGGGGCCGGCCCAGAAAAGGGGCGGGCAGGCCTGGCGGGCAGCGTACACGCCGGCCGCTTACCAGGGCTGGGGTCTCGCTCCTCGTCCTCTGCCGCCCCGTGGGTCTTGAAGCCGGGCGGCAGCGCCGGCCCGATCAGATCCCTCGCCATCCGCGGTGGCGGACGCTGGTCTAGCATACAACCCTACCCACGCAGCGACAATCCTACCCGAAAGGCAGCCCGGAATCCGCCGCAAACGCAGGAAGTTTTTCCGGCGCCGACCAATGACGTTGCAGCCCGTGGTTGGCAGAGTCGCGTAATTCGCAAGAACGGAAGTGACGCGTAAGGCTTGCTCCAGATTCGCACGCTAGGTTCCCTACCTGGCTGCAGGCATGGCAGAGCCGGCTAGTGATTTCGTGACTTCTAACGGATGGATTCCAGCGTCCGGGCTGAACCGCACCTTGGGGCATCTGAGCGACACAGCTTCAGTGTCCGACAACTGGATGTTCTGGGCAATGCTGCCGCCGCCGCCACCACCGCCTTCGTCGTCGCCTCCCGTACGAGGGTCAGAGCCTTCCTCAGAGGAGCAGCTCCCCCAGGAAGCCCAGGCTCTCCCCGGGGCGCCTCCTCCTTTCGACGCCCAGATTCTTCCTGGGGCGCAGCCTCCCTTCGACGCCCGGTCCCCGCTTGATTCTCAGCCCCAACTCAACGGCCAGCCTTCCTGGAATTTCCAGGCTTCTACCTCATGGTACTGGAGACAGTCTCCTGGTGTTTTTCCTGGATATCAGAACACTCCGGGTAGGCTATAGCTCCTTTCCTTACCGCCCCTTTTCTTTTCTCCTCACATTCTTTCCTCTCCCACTTCCCCCATTTTTCCTTTCTCTACTTTTGGTTCTGTCCCGCACTCTTGGGGGTCTGGTCAGTTAAGGTCTCAACAATTTTTTTCGACAGGAATGTCTGCCCTGACTCTTCAGCCAAGGAACTGGGAATATAGCAGTGAACGAAACACAGAAAAAAATCCTTATTTTTATGGAACTTAACATTACCTGGTGGAGAAAGAATTAAAAAAAAAAAAAGCAGTGTGTGCTAGTAGACAGTAAGTGCCACCTAGAGAGAGAAAGCCAAGGAGGTGATAGGTCGTGCAGGGGTAAATGTCAGTGTCAGTCGTAATGAAGGTGACATTTGAGCAGAGACTTCAAGGAGGTGAGTGATCAGAGCTGTGGGTCCGACTGGGGGAATAGAGATGCAGGCAGAATGAACAGCAAGTGCAAAGAGTTTGAGGCAGGTGCTGTCTATCAGAATGGAACCCAGTGTGACTAGAGAGGAACAATCCTGGGGCAGAATTGTAGAAGACTGGGGAAGAGGACAGGCCTGCTAGGGCCTTGTAGGTAAGGGGATTATGACTTTTTACTCTTGTGATAAGGATAGTGCAGGGGGGTGACATAAGTTTTGTTTTAGAAGGAATGATATGGCTGCTCATAGGAATTGACTTAAAGGGAGATGAGTTAGGAAGCTATTGCAGTTATCCCAGTGAGAGATATGGGGGACTTGGACCAGGGTGGAGCACAGGAGCTGATGAGAAGTGTTTTGAAGGTAGGGTTGGGCCAACGCGATTTGCAGGGTGTGAGATAAAGGCAAGACAAGAATGATGTAGTTTTGTTTCATTTTTTCCAAACAAGCAGAAGGATATGGATTGAACAGATTTGAAAGAAAGACTAGGAGTTTGGTTTGGAATATGTGTGTGCCAAGTAGAGATATTGAATAAGCAGTTAGTTTGTACTTTCAGGAGAGATTTGTGGCTGGAGCTGTGAATTTGGGTGTCATCTGCATCCAGGTCACATTTAAAGCCATGAGATTGTTCACTTAAAACCATTCTCTAACTCTGCCTAAGATTTATTTTACATTAACTTGACATTTACAAACCAGCCTTTACTGTGTGCCAAATGCTGGGAATATGAATGCACATAAGACATTCCTAAGACAGGTGAGATGGGTTCGTAAGTAATAACCACAACAAGCACAACTGGTGATGGAGGCATATGAAAGGTAATTTCAGAGTGTGGAGGAAGTTGGCGAAAGTTTTTGGAAGAAGTGTCTTGGGTGATGTTTAGGATTTTGGAAGAGACCCTGTAGGCTGGGGCAAAGAGGCGTGAGTACAAGGTGAGTTCTGAAGATCACACTGTTCTGGCGTGACTGCAGCCGAGTAAATGTAGGGTATGGGGGAAGAGCAGGATGAGAAAATAAGCCAGCATCTCATTGAAGGATTCTGGGAAGTGATTTGTAGGTTTTCCAGCAGGCTTGTGACTTTTGGAGGATTATTTTTGTGGTGGTGTCAGCGCGCAGTGTCTATTGGAAGAGAGGGCTTAGGAACCCGAAGACAATCTGGGAGGCTTTCCTAGTAATCTAGGTGAAGGATCAGGGTTTCAGAGCTTCATGGCCATAAGAAAGGAAAGAATTTGAGAGAAAATGTATTTCACAAGGTTCTATTTTCCTGGTGTATAATTGAGGCTGAAAAGCTGTATTGGGATCGTATTGTTTACATTTCTAATGTTTGAAATAACTACGAGAAATTTCATCAGGTTAGAGTGGCCTTTCCTTTCTTTGACGCCCAAAGCACTGTATGGCCATCTAATCTTACCAGTTACGTATTCATTTGAAACACATTTATTTGGTAGACTGGTCTTCATCTTTGTTAATTTGTGTGAACTACTTTTCTTCCTAGAAGAGGTAGTTTCTACCCAAGTATTTGTGACATGATAGAGCGAATAAAAGTTTAAAACGTGTAGTTACAAATATTTATTGATTTCTTTTTGTTTTTTAGTTAAGCATTCTTATTTTCCACGAAAATACGATGCAAAGTTCACTGATGGCAACTTCCCTCCCAGTAGAAAACAGAAAAAAAAGGTATTTTTAAAAATGTTCCTGAATGTGACACTTCGGTCCCTATGTCACTGTTTCATGCCTTGCATTTCTAACATAACTGTCTCAGTGTTTTGCAATCATTATTGACACAGTGGGTTCTCGCTATAATAGGATCTTTAAAGATCTTGGCTTTAAGTAAAAACTTTTTTTTAAAAATTTTTTAAAAATGTTTTATTTATTTCTGAGAGAGAGAGCGTGAGCAGGGGATGGTCAGAGAGAGAGGGAGACACAGAATCCGAAACAGGCTCTGGCTCTGTGCTGGCTGTCAGCACAGACCCTGACATGGGGCTCGAACCCACAAACTGAGATCATGACCTGAGCTGAAGTTGAATGCTTAACTGACTAAGCCACCTAGGTGCCCCAGCTTTAAGTAAAAACTTTAAGCAAAGTCTTTTCGAGAAATAAATGTAGAAACTATAGAAAGAGAAAACATTGAATTCATTTTAATATATTTTCAAGAATGAATAATAAAATTGTGATTATGAGTAAATGTAAATGTTATTGAACCTTGGTGAACTAAATATATATATATTAGAAAATTGGAAGGATATATTAGCGAAAGGGAAAGGATGGAATTTTAAGGAAATGAACAGTCCAAACTTTCTCTTATAAAATTGAAACTATGGAGTTAAGAACAAATTATAATGTCATAAACCTTTTACTTTTCATTATCTTTTTTCTCTTTGACACAGGGTTCTGTTAGGAACAAATATTTCTTTGATTAAAAAAAGCAGTTCCAACGGTTTCTTTTTCTTGTGTCAAATTCAATTAAAATTAAATTTAATGTTAGTTTAAAGTAGTTTATATTTAGTTTATCCTTTGTGCCTGAAGTAATGTCAGAAATTCTTCAGACAAGATTTTTTTCTGTTATTATTGTTTATCTTTATTTATCTTAATTTGTACTGCTTCAGTTCTTTTTAGTAATAGGTATTTATCATTTTTAGGAACAAAGTTACTATTTTTTAAAAATCAGTATCAACTCTTTGTTATGCTTCAGAGATCAAGTCTTAAAATAGGCTTCTTTCTGAGGAAGCTTATAGATCTAGTCTGCTTTAAAGATGTGTATTAAATAGTGTCAGGCACCTGACTGGCTCAGTTGTTAGAGCATGTGACTCTTGATATTGGGGTTGTAAGTTCAAACCCCCATGATGGATGTAGTGATTACTTAAAAATAAAATCTTGAAATAAAAAAACAATGTGATTAATTTAGAATGAGTCAAAGTCTACAGCATGAAATAAGTATTTCTTATTTTGGCATGAAAACTGTGTAGCTAATATTAAAAAAAAAATTGTATCAGTGTAATATATTAACATAATCCCAACATTAAACAATGGAAGGCCATCTCATAGTCTATCATTGTAATTTTTTTTTGGTTTTATATTTAAGAATAAAAATAGCAGATTGGGAATAAATAACTGACCTTTATTAAATGATTCTTCTTGGGGTTAAAAAAGATAAAGTTGTTTTCTAAAAGTTGAAATGCTGTTTGTTTTTTTATTTTATTTTTAACATTCATTTTTGAGAGACAGAGAGACAGAGTATGAGCAGGAGAGGGGCAGAGAGGAAGGGAGACAAAGGATCTGAAGCAGGCTCCAGGCTCTGAGTTGTCAGTACAGCACCTGATGCAGGGCTTGAACCCATGAACTGCAAAATCATGACCTGAGCTGAAGTCAGAAGCTTTACCAACTGAGGGGCGCCTGGGTGGCTTAGTCGGTTAAGCGTCCGACTTTCACTTGGGTCATGATCGCGCGGTTCGTGGGTTCGAGCCCCGCGTCGGGCTCTGTGCTGACTGCCAGCTCAGAGCCTGGAGCCTGTTTCAGAGTCTGTGTCTCCCTCTCTCTCTGACCCTCCCCTGCTCACGCTGTCTCTCTCTCTTTCCTAGAAATAAATAAAACATTAAAAAATAAAAATAAAAAAATAAAAAAGCTTTACCAACTGAGCCACCCAGGTGCCTCAAAATGCTGTTTTTATGATTAGAGCATTTTGACATATGCTGTGCTCTTAGATTACCAATTTGAAGTCTATTCACAGTTTATATTCTACTCAGATTTAACATTTTTTAAATTATGCTGGTCTTTTCCTAATATAGTTCCTATAAAAAAGCAAACAAAACAGAATTACCCTTCATTAGAAATATATTCAGAGTTTTTCCCACACACAGGGGTTATGTGAAAAATCAAAGTACATACTACTGGGAGGATAGTTATATTTTTATTATTGCATAAACATTTTTTTAATCAAAAATCTAACGCTTGTTTTTGTTTGCAGAAAAGAAAAGAGCCAGTTTTTCACTGGTTTTGTGATACCTGTGATCGTGGTTTTAAAAATCAAGAGAAGTATGATAAACACA